TGATAGAATTCTTCAACAATTTTGTGTTCTTCAGCATCTAGTCGGAGCATTGTTTTTCTTCGGTCAAGTTCAAGTCGTAATTCATATTGATCTTTATTGATTAAATTATTTATCATAGTTGTAATATTTTGTATATCAATAATGGCAGGTGTTTGTTTGATATGTTCATTAATAGCCTCTTGATTTTTATCACATTGTACTCTATATTTTTCAAGACGTTGTTTGATTAAGTTTTTGGATCGACCATATGTGTAACACATTGAATTAGCTTCGGCCAATTTTTTCGATACTCGTCCATTCCAAATACCTTCAGTTATGCCAAGATTATAATAGTAAGACCATTGTTCATGTTGTAATTCAGAATAATTGAATTTATTGAGCAATTGTGTATGTTCACGAATAAATAACAATATTTCTTTCTGATTCAATAATTCAATAATTGCATCTTGATTAATAGTATTGGACATTGATATTAATAACATTTGTATAAATTTGCTGTCAGATAACTTTGAATAATCCGGTAATAATAATGTTGGATCAGAACTAGTTGCCATATCCAAAGGATTTGTAATTTTTTTCTTTGGTAACTCTTGAGATGTTGATAAATTTTGAAAATGTTCACTAGAATCCATAGTTGCTAATTGAAATTCGTTTTTGGTAGAGACCATTTTCTTTTTCATTCGTAATTGGCGATTTTTCTTTTTCTTATGTTGACCTTTATGGTTTTGCTGATGTTGATTGAATTTGTTTTTCATTTTTGCTTGCTGATAGTTGTATTGAAGTTTGATAGTATATAGTATTGAGCTATATTAACTTAGATATCTGAAATGAAAAAATAAATAAATAAATATAGATTTTATTTTGAATATAGTACAACAATGAAAGAGAAAAAAAAGTAAAGAATGTACAATGCAGTTTATTTTCAAAAGAAAAAAAATGGAAAGAAATTTTTTTTAAATGTCTGTATAATGTTCACGAGATATTCACACCGTTAGCATTGACTTCATTTGGTTTTCGTTCTAAGAGAAAAATAATTATTTACAATAGAAGAAAAAAAAACGTTGCTTATATCTTACTCTTTCTTAATGGATCTTTCA